GGGGGGTGAGGATTTGGACCACTATATAAACAACGGTACACAGTAGTCAACGAGTAGAGGCCAACTGTAATTCCTCGGTTCCCAGGTGTGGTGGTGGCCTTCAGGGTTGGAACTCACTTGCTCTCGAGGCACTCTTAGGGCACAGACTGTCCCTGGCAGCTCTATGTGGGATGGGGAGCCAGCCTGGGAGCGTCCCTGCAGCCCTGACCCAGAGCCAGGATTCCCCTTACACAGAGGGGAGGGAGGAGCTTTCCCAGGGGGATTTCCCCAAGGGGCTGGAGTGAGCCCTTTCCTGGGGTCAGAGCAGGACATTGCTCTCTGGCTGACTGGGGAATCCCCATGGATTTCATGGTGCCCATGGGAGGGGCCTATTGTGTTCCTAAAGGAGGGAGAAGAAAGGCTAGAGCCTGTCAGTATTAGCCTCTCAACCAAGTCTCTGGGTGTCTGGAGCCCCGTCTCCTCCTCCCTCACCTACTTCTGCCATGAGACTATGACACTGGGCAGTGACACTTGATTTAATAATGGCAGGAAACGGTCTGAGATTTGCAGCCTCCACCCACTTCTGAGAAAAGAAAAAAAAAAGGACACCAGATTGTTCATTCTAATTGACTTTTGGTGGCACTCACTAGAAACAAGGCAAATGGCCAGTGCTTGGGGATTAGATAATATTTTGTGAGAAGACACATGTAAAGTACTAAGAAACAAAGATCATCCTTAAGAGGAAACTTAAAGGCCAAGAGTATTTCATAACAGATTTAGTCAAAATTCAAGTCACAAAACAATGGCCATATTTCTCTTTCTCTTTTTGGTTTTGCAACTGAATTTTATTTATTTATGTGTATGGATGTTTTGCCTGCATGTATGTCTGTATACCACATGCATGCCTGGTGCCCATGGAGCCCAGAAAAGGGCCTCAGATCCCTTGGAACTAGGGTTAGGGACAGTTGTGAGCCACCATGGGGGTCCTGGGCATCAAACCTTGGTTCTCTGAAAGAGCAGCCAGTGCTCTTAACCATTGGGTCATCTCTCCAGCCCCTTATTGTTTTGAGACAGGGCCTCACTGCCCGTTCCAAACTGACTTCAAACTCCCTGTAATCCTCTTGCCTCCGCTCTGAGCGTTGAGACTACTGGCATGAGCCACCACATACTGCTGATTTCTTTCCTCCCCTCCCAATTTTACATTGGAAGCCAGACACTGTGCTGTATACCTGTAATCCCAGAATTTGAGAAATGGAATCATTAGGATCAGGAGTTCAAGGCCAACCTGTGCAGCATGAAACTCCATTTAAAAATATGCACAAAAAAAATGTCTAGAAGGATGTCTATGAAATGCTTTTGTTGGTTGTTTTTGTACTGCTTTTGTGTTATAAGACCAAGTCTCATTATGTTGGCCAGGAACTTTCTATGTAGACTGGACCGGACTTAAACTTGTCGTGATCCTCTGGCCTCTGCCTCCTCAGTGCTGAGATCGCAGACATGTGCTACCACCCCAGATAATACCAAATATTAACTGTAATTATTACTGAGAAGTAGAATTGTAAGTACCTTCTGAGAGGGAGTTATCTGTCTTCAGTATTTCCCAAATCTCCATCCGTGAAAAGACATTGTCTTTTATGTCTTTTGTTGTTGTGAAGGAAAAAGTCCACAGTATTGGGGTGTGGGGGGTAGTTCTCCTTTTGGCTCTGTAGCTAGGCAACCCCAGGCCCCAGCCAAGGCCCAGGAGTGTAGATAGGGCAGATAATAGAAGGGAAGCCTCAGAGGGGCATTAGCCCAATTTGGCTGTCCAGGCGTTACCAGAGAGGCCAGCTGACAATCCAGGCTACAGCAGGAGGCCCCTCAATACTTGATCACTCGCCCCATGTTATTGCCCTCACAGGCTCATCGACATCTGAAATTGCCTCTCTGCTAATGGCCTATCTGTTGAATTTTGCCTTCTGTAACAGAAGGCAGCCCTGTGAGACAGAACAGGAACCCTGGCTGACTAGTCCTTGAGCCTCCCATCATGGAAGATCAGATGAGATCTCGGTTTATAAGAACATGGGGACTCTCTCAACAGCCCCCAGGCCGTGGACATTTATCCTGAGGCTACACATAGCAGTGTGAGATGGAACTGACTTCATAGGAATCGAGAAGCAGAGAGAGAGCAGGCTTATGAGCCCAGAAATGGATGGAGTTTGACATCTGAGAGAAGCTGGCCCTATCCATGGTTCCAGTCGTGGACCAGCTGTGCAGTCTACATTTGAGGAAAGTGGAGAGAGAGCCAACTTCTCTTCCATTCTCCACCCCTTTGCCTCTAGCTCTCCCACTATGACCCGCTACCCCCATTCCTTAGCCTCAGTCTTTAGCCTCTCTCTTCTGAACCTACTACACTCGGGAAGTGTTCATCCCATCCATTCTGCTGGGCCTGCGGTGACCAGGTATGCAGGATGCTACATCCAGTCTTTCCTTCTCCATCTTCACATCATGTGGCCTGTCGGGGTGAGCTGCTCATCTTCCCTGGCACCCTTCTCCTCTTGTCCCTCCTACATACTGCGAGTCCTCCGTCACCTTGGCCGAGCTGCTGAATGGGCTTCTGTTGTCCACATCTCCTGCCCTGACATCTACCCTCTTGTTGACTGATGATTTCTGGAGGAGGTCCCAGCCCACTGTGGGTGACACCATCCCTAAGCACATGGGCCTGGCCTGTATAAGAAAGCAAGCAGAACATGAGCAGGAAGGGAGCCAGCAAGCATCATTCATCCAGGGTTTCCGCTCCAGGCTCCTGCTCTGATTTCCCTTAATGATGGACTATGATCTGGAGGTGTAAGATGAAATAAACCCTTCCTTCCTCAAGTTGCTTTTGCTCAGGGTTTTATCGCAGCACCAGAAATCAAACCAAAATAACCCCCAATCCTAGGAGTCCTCCCTCATCTTTTTAATTTCTTTAATCTCAATTCTAACCTATCAGCAAAGCCTTTTTAGCTCCACTTTCTAGAATCTGACCACATTCCAGCACCTCCATGCTACTGCTCTGTCCACGCCACCACCGTCCCTGGCAGGTCTGCCGTGGCTGACTCTCTTGCTGACTGGTTCTACCTTTGCTCCTTTATTCTCAGCAGGGCTTCCAGGATGGCCGTTGCTAAAATATGAACTGTTACATTGTTTCTCTGTATACAGCCCTTCCATGGCTCCACTCTTGGGGCAGAGCGCAAGTTTGTATACCAGCTTTCCTCAAATGCTCTGCAATCTTAGGACCCTCTCTGAGGGGATCGTCAGTACTATCTCAGGACCCCCCAGACCAAGGTCTCAGGCCAAAGGAGATTTATTTGCCACAGAGGGACAAAGGGCAGGAGAAGGGAACAAGGGAGAGAGGAAGGGGAATTTGTTGGGGGATAGAGAGGAGACAGACCTAGCCCATAGGCAAATGGTGGTTTATAAAGATAAAACGGGAAACCCTGTGTTAGGGTGAGGTGTTTAATTTTGATTGGGCGTGTTAATTTGGTGAGCCAAAGGGGGCTTTTGATTGCTGGACTTCAATTCTTTGAAAACTGGACCTTGATAGTCAGCCTCAGGAGGAGGAAGTGGCCAAATAAGGGAGCAGACCTTGGTGGCCAGCTTTAGGAATGTAATCTAACAGTTTTTTAGCAAGGCAGAGGGAATGAGGGAGAAGGGCAAGGCCTGCCGGAGCTGGGGCTGGCTGGAGACCCGTCACTCTCCCTGCCTCTCCTCGGTCCTTTCCTTGTTTCTGCCCTGATCACAGCTGACCTCACCGGTTATCACCATGCCAGGCAAGCCGTCCCCTCCAGACCTTTGCCTTTGTTGTTCCTGACCTGGGAACCACCTTCCCATTAACCCTTTGGGTCCATGTCCTCAGTTCTTCAGTTCTTTTTTTCACAATGTACCTTCTTAGATATCCAGCTGTCCGTGCACATGCATGCCTGCGCTTTTGTGTGTGTGTGTGTGTGTGTGTGTGTGTGTGTGTGTGTGTGTGTGTAGACCTTTCTTTGTCTTTTTTCCTTTTCTTTTGGATCTCTTGTATCCTAACCTGCCCTTGAAGTTACTGTGTAGCCAAGCATGACCTTGAACTTCCAGTCCTCCTGCCTCTGACTCCCAAGTGTAACGATCACAGGCACATGCCACCACGCCTAGTTTTATGTGGTGCTGGGGATCAAACTGAGGGCTTCGTACATCCTGGGCAAGCACTCTGCCAACTGAGCTACGTCCCAGCCCCACCATTGAGAATTTGAAGCTTCTTCTCAATGTCCTCTACCCTTCTTCTGATTTTCTCTTGGTTTTCTTCATAGCAACTTTACTACCTGTGACTACTATATTTTATTTATTTATTTATTCAGTTTTTTACTGTTTTCAAGAACACCACACACTCCCTAAGGGTAGGTGCTTCTGTCCACTGCTACACACCCAGGGTCCTGGAACAGTGCCTGCTAGGTGTTCAATAAAAAGCTGATGAGATCAGGTGGTGGTGGTGGTGGTGGTGGCGGTGGCGGTGTCGGTGGCGGTGGCACGCCTTTAATCCCAGCACTCGAGAGGCAGAGGCAGGCAGATTTCTGTGAGTTCGAGGCCAGCCTGGGCTACCGAGTGAGTTCCAGGAAAGGTGCAAAGCTACACAAGAGAAACCCTGTCTCGAAAAACCAAAAAAAAAAAAAAAAGCTGATGAGATCAGTCACATTGGGGTGATATGGCCATAGGGTGTTCAATAAATAGCTGATGGGTGTCTTCATCAGTGAAGATAAATAAACAGGTTGCTTCTGTTTACTGAGCCTTGAAGCAGGATGGGAGAGTGCTGGGTCTTCTCCCAGTTTACAAGTGCTCAAGGCTGAGCGAGCAGGAAATTTCAGTAGAATGGGCCTTGGGTAGAAGCCATGGCGCTGGGTCTGTCTTAGCTTGTGTCTCCTAGCCCACATCTCAGTGGCTCTTGGAGAACTTGCCAAAGATGGGTCTGCATCATTCACCTTCCATGCCTCATGGCCACTGTTCACTTCCCTTTCTTCTTCTTCTTCTAGGTGCCAGAGTATGCAGCCGCTCAGACCAAAGCGTCACAGAGGTGAGAGCAGCGAGGCTGTGGCTAGCCTGGGATTTCCCATGTTAAAGGGTTTGGAAAGTAGCCCAGGAAGTCCCAGGGGACTAGTGCTGATTTCATGGACAGAGAGTGAACCCTGGGACCAGGGGACAGTTTGGTAATGTCAGAGGTGATGTAAGGCCTTTAGCTAGAAGATTAAGTCAGTTTTCTGTTGCTACAACGGAACACCTGAGATCAGATGAAGGAAAACATTTCATTTTGACTCATTTTCCCCAAAGGCAGGAAGCCCAAGACCAGATGGCCCATCTTACATGGGTCTCATGCAGTATCATAACATGAAGGAGGCAGCGGCCAGCAGGGCAGAGCTCAATGAGGATAGGCCCTCCCTCTCAGTGATCCAGTACCCGGGTTCAACAGAGCCAGTGACTTCAGAGTGACAGACTTTGTTCAAGACACAGCATGGGAAAATGCCTGGCCATGGGCCCACAGGATGGCCTTCCCTTTCCAGCTCTCTCCAGAGCTCCTACACGGTGTTCCGAAGTCAAGGAAGGCCTTGAACAGTTTAGTTCTAGACCAAGAATCTACTAAAACTGCCCCCTCCCCAGCATATGGTTTCCTGCTGAATCTCGGTCTAAATGACAAGTATTCATTGCTAGCTGATGTAAGCAGCATGTCTATACTGAAACACACTGCTGAGGTGGGGGACCGCTGAGGTGGGGACCACTGATGTGGAGGACCGCTGATGTGTTTATAAAAAGACAACTCTAAAACTGTGTCCAGCGTTGGACCAAGCAATTGGTTTTACAGAACTAAGGAATAACCAAAGGGCAATGCACACATGATCCACAAGTGCATTTTTTGTAAAGGAAACGTCAGGAAGCCTCAGGAAACATCAAAAAGAAATTATCCAGGAGCCTTTTAGATTGCTTAGTAAGGGTGCTTGCCACCAAGCCTGAAGACCTAAGTTTGATCCCAAGACCCACGTGGTGGAAGGAGAGAACCCATTCCATAAGTTGTCTTCTGACCTCCCACACTCACTTGGCACACCTGTGCCCCCCCAAGTACACACTAAATAAATAAATAAATGTAAATCTGAAACAGAAAAGAAATTATTCAGAATTTGTACATCTGTTCAAGGGTGTGTCGAGCATCAGTGACATACACACATATTTACCGAGAGAGGCATATCTGTTGTTTTTGTTTGTCGTTTGTGTTTTGAGACAGGGTCTCACGATGTTGCCCTGACTGGCTTGGAACTCACTATGTAGACCAAGCCAGCTTGGAACTCACAGAGATGTGTTGCCTCTGCCTCCTGATGCTGCAATGAAAGGCATGTGCCAGGATTTCCAGCTGGCTGTTTGTTTTTTTAAGACAGGCTGTTATGTAGCCCAGGCTAACTTTGGGCTCACTGTGTAGTCAGCTCTGACCTGTAACTCTTGACCTTCCAGCCTCTATCAACCTCAGGTTCTGGGATTATGGGTGTATACCACTATACCTGGGAATATATTTGGTTATATTGGTTTTGAACATAGAAAAACCTTACATCACATAGACAGTAGCTTTGCATCCTGGGAAATTGAAAATGACCAGTCTCTTAGCCAACCTGGGAACCAGGACAGTGTGACCCGCCTGAGCCTGTCTCCCACACCCGGTGAAAGCAACACTCCCAAGGCTGCAGCACAGACTCATGTGCTGAGCACTCAGCACATGTGTGTCAGAACACACAGACCTAGAGGACTCTTCGCAGAAGCCTGGATGTTCTGTTTTGTTATGGAGGAAGGCTAAGAGAATCATGAGTCATTTTAGTATTTCCCTGTTTTCTACAAGACATACTTCGACAATGATAGCATACTTTTTTAAATATATGTGTTTTTTAATGTGTGTGTGTGTGTGTGTGTGTGTGTGTGTGTGTGTGTGTATGTGTGTGTGTATTTTAATGCAGCCATTGAAGAGTTAAAAAGAGGGAGCAAGTGTGGTGAGATGGCTCGGTGGGTAAAGGTGCCTACCATCTGATGATACAGGCCTAGAAACCCGAGTTCAATCACCCAGACCCGCAGAAAGGTGGAAGGAGGGAACCAACTCTACACAATTGTGGTCCTCTGACCTCCACGTGTGATACCTTCATCCGTTGCACACAAAATGCTCAACATTCAATAAAAATTTAAAAACTTACTTTTTGAGCTGTAGTGAATTTGACTTGGGCAGGTGAGCCCCCGAATAGCCCCTTGGGCCCAAATCTAGCCTCTGAGCACCAGGCAGGGAGGGGAGGTGCTGGAAGACTTACGGTGAGGAAAAGACACACCCTTCCCGACCCGCTCCAGCCCCAGCTAGCCTGTTCCTCTCCACACCCCACCACTGGCTCCTGGTAGAAGAACTGTTGCCCTAAGGCTAGTGTGTCACAGCTTCAGATGGTAAGTGTCTGCCTTCTACAACTGCTGAGACAGCCCGGCTTGGTCCCTCAGAGAGAAGTCACTCCAGGTCCAGGCTCCTTGCCCATCTTTAGCACCATTTTGTTTACACCCAGAGCAGGAAAGGCAGGAGTCCTAAGGAATTCCCAGAAGTCATTCTGTAAGAGCAACCACCTCTCTGCCAGGCAGTCATGGCACACGCCTTTAATCCCAGCACTTGGGAGGCAGAAGCAGGTGGATCTCTGTGAGTTTGAGGCCAGCCTGGTCTACAGTGTGAGTTCCAGGACAGTCAGGGCTACCCAGAGAAACCCTGTCTCGAAAACCCAAAAAAAAAAAAAAAAACAACAAAAGAGTAGCCAGCTCTCTAGTGTCACCCTGGTCTCCCCATTCTGGCTGTCTATTGCTCCATAGCAACCCACTCCACACTCAGATCTGCCACCGCCTGCTTGCGCTGCAGGTCATTCTCTGCTCTACAGAGTCTGGACCCCAGCTGGGGTGACTGAATGACCACGGATGGGCTGGCATCTTGACTGGGAGTTGGAACAGCTGGGGCCAAAGGATCCATTTTCAGGACGGCTGTACAGCTGTCCGTCTGTCCTGTACTGTGCCTGCTGACCGGAGGCGACAGGCGACATGGCCTGTCAGGCACAGGGGACTGACTGCAGGGCGCTACTTTTGCCTGGTAGCTCAGCTTGAGCGTTCTGCCCAGCAACATGGAAGTCATATGACTAGCCTGGGAAGTCACATCAGCCTCACTTCTGCTGCTCTAGTCACAAATCTACCTGGATTCAGGGACGAAGACCCAGGCTCGACTCTCAGTGGGCAGAGCGCCAGTCATGAACTCTGAGCAGTTCAGATCAGGTGGTGCTTAGGAAGTTAAGTGCCTCCCCAACTTTATCGCAAGCACATGATCTCGGGGGGGGGGGGGGGGGGGGGGGAGTCTGAGGTTGCTGTTAAGAGTCATGCTCAGTCATGACTCCACAATCATCGCTGATCCAGAGTCCCTAGATCAAGCCGAGAGCTCACGTATGTGGATTTTTAACAACCCAGACTCTGGTCCTCACATTTGCACCGCAAGGGCTTTAACCACTGAGCCATCTCCCCGGCCCGGAAGTTGAGTCTTACTGCTGTGCATTCAGTTCAAACTGAGCCATCCCCCTGTCTTCATCCCTACGTTCTTCTGCCCTCCCTGCACCCTTTTTCTCTTTTGCCGTCTGGGCAGGGTAGAGGGTGGGAGTTCCCAGCTTTCATCTTCTCACCATCCACAAGTCCCAGCCCCTCTGACACTCCGGGGCGCAGAGGCTTCCCATCTGCAAGTGCACCCCTCTCGCTTAGCAGCCATCGCTCCCCATTCTTCCTCCTTCCGGGACTTGTGGAAATCACTATCATTCAAGTTTTCTTCACGGTTCTATGCTTTTGAGGGTTTTATACCATTTGGGGTTTTTTTGCTTGTTTTGTTTTGTTTTTAATCTTTTGAGACAGCGTTTCTCTGTGCAGCCCTGGCTGTCCTGGAACTCACCCTATAGACCAGGCTGGCCTCGAACTCACAGAGATCCTCCTGCCTCTGCCTCCCCAGTGCTGGGATTAAAGGCGTGCGCCACCACCACCCAGCATCATTTGATTTCTCGACTGGCATTTTTGTGGCCCTTTCGGAGAGAAAGGGGTTCATCTGTGTACCTGGAAGCCCTGCCGCATCTGCGTAGACAGATGCCTCGCAACTGTGTGCCGGGCCCCCAGCCCTTTATTACAGCGGCCACCCTGAGCCTTTTGTCGATACTTCGGCTACATTCATGAATATGCCTGCTTACCTTTGAAGTACGAAGCTAAGCAGAGGTGGCTGTCTCTCCATGACAAGGACCCCAACCCTGGGCCAGAATCCTTTTTCTTATACTATTGTGTATGAGCGAGTACATGCTGTGTGTATGTGGGCACTCATGCCACGGCACGTGTGTGGAAATCAGAGGGGAACTGCGTGGGGTTGCCTTTCCTCTTCCACGTTGACGAGTTCCAGGGATTGAACTCAGGTTCTCCAGTCTGGGGGTAACAAGCGTTTTTACCCGCAGAACCGTGTTTCCGGTCCTGTGCTGAATTCTTGACACCTTTGCTGTGGCTTCCTGTCTCTTGGTCCTGTGGACCTGTGGTGACGATGCTGAAGGGAAGAAAGGAGCAGAATGGGCAACTAACTCGCAGCAACTTGGGTTATTAAGATATTATTATTAAGATGACTCAGCTGGGGGCCGGCGCTGGGTGTCTCTGCTTACTGCCCCACCCAGCCCTGCTCCCTTGGGTCCTCTGCTCTCCTCCACACGGCCCAAGATCGGAAGACTTCAGCTTCCCTCTGTGTCCGCCTGTTTCCCGTTGTGTTTGCCTCAGCTGAGTCCCGACAGGAGTAGAGTGACTTGGGGTGCTCTGTCCCCCGGCTCCCTCCCTTGCTGGCCCCGCCTTGCCAGAGTTCCTTCCGGCAGTCCCAGGGGAAGGCAGGGGTCCTGGCCAGGGCTTCCTACTGGGTTGTTGCCGGCGCTTCACCTTCCCTTTGGATTTCTCTCTACGCTGCCTGCCTGCCCTCCCCTCTTTATAAACAAGCCCTTCCTCAAACTCTCCTGTCCCTTTGGGTGG